CCCAGCTACTAGGGAGGCTGAGGCAGGAGAATCACTTGAACTTGGGAGGCAGAGGGTACAGTGAGCCAAGATCGCACCATTGCACTCCAGCCTTGGTGATAAGAGCAAAACTCTGTCTCAAAAAATAAAATAAAAAATAAAGATATTGCATCATGGTTTCAAATCTTAAATCTACTATCCAGGAGTCATTTCACCTCTTTGAGTTTTGGTTTCTTTATGTGTAATTCAAGGGTAACAACACTGATGAATTAGGATTGTTGGAGGATTACGTGAGAAAGTATACATAAAACACTAAGCACAATGCCTAGCTCTTCATAAAGCATGCATTCAGGATCAGTTTATATTTTCTTATTATGCAGACAGCAGAAAACTATCCAACAATTTTTTAAATGATCATCTTCCATGGACAAGTCAGACTCAAGTCTTGTCCTTTTGCTTGACTTCCCGTACACCTGTTCCAGCATCTCCCCTTGAGTAATTCCAAATGACTCAAGGATATGATGCTGTTCTTGAGTGAAGATGGTTCCTGTGGACTTCAGGAGCCTTTTCCTAAATGCTTTACAGAACTTGCTGTCAGATAGTCCTCCGGTTATGGGTTTGCTAGCATGATAGTTTTTCACTGTAGGAATTGTTTCTGATGAGTGACACAGGGCTGCAGAGGCCAGCTTTGGGAATGTTGTTGGTGCAACAAGGAGCGCTACAGTCAACATAGCGAAACCAGGTCCCTGTCTTCACCTTTTTTTTTTTTTTTTGAGACAGAGTCTCATTCTGTCACCCAGGCTGGAGTGCAGTGGTGCGATCTCGGCTCACTGCAACCTCTGCCTCCAGGGTTCTAGCAATTTGCTTGCCTTAGTCTCCCAAGTAGCTGGGATTATAGGCCTGAATCACCACGCTTGGCTAATTTTTGCATTTTTTTGGTAGAGGCTGGGTTTTGCCATGTTGGCCAGGCCGGCCTCGAACTCCTGACCTCAAGTGATCTGCCTGCCTCGGCCTCCCAAAGTGCTGGGATTACAGGCATGAGCCACTGCGCCCAGCCCCTGTCTTCACTTTGAGTTGGTCATACACTTCACAGAACTTGGGATCTCATTGATGACTTCAGGTATAAGAATCAATGTGGAATCAAAGCTCGAAGAAATTTAGCGCTTGCATTAAGCCTGGTCATTTGAGCTTCCTTTGCAGTCATATGCACTTGGACCATTATCGGCACAGCTGGGCCTATTAGGTCAGTATTTCAAATTCCTGCTAACACTTTGTGACACCATATTTGTGCCACAATAAACGTAACTGAGACATCATAGAAGGGTGGAGACGGCATGTGCACCATAGCACCGTTGCTGCCTGCTTTGAAAGCATTGAATCAGTTTTTGGCAGAGTAAATGTGGCTATTGTCATGAGAATCCCTGAACAGTGCAACCAGAATGTTGAGCACTACATGATACAGACCACATTCTGGTTTTCCATATGGAGCAGGATATCAGACTTGGAGGTGATGGTGAATGGCACACATCCCTTAGAGCTGGGCAGACTGCACAGAGGACTGTTGTACAAATTCTATTTTTTTTTTTTTTTTGACA